GATTGGCACAAGAGTCGGCGCAGGACTTCGCGTATGAGGACTTCGACTGTCCCAAAGACAACGGGTTCTTCGCCCACGCTACTCAGTGTGACGCTTACTGGAGCTGCGAAGATGGAACCCCAGAGTTCCGTCTCTGTGGTAACGGCTTGGCTTTTGACAACAAAAACGACTCCCGCGAGAACTGCAACTACCTGTTCGCCGTGGATTGCACCGATCGCCCCGAGCTGGGTAGGACGACGATGTCACAGCCAGGCGTCACTGGGTCTCTCAATCCCGATGTCCAGCCTCTTATATACTTATTTGTTCACTGCATGACCATAGTACAAACTGCATGGGTTGGGCTCTACAATGCATGCTGTGCCAACCAAATATACAATTTTTACACCAACTCAACACAAGTTACTGACGTAATAATGTGAGTGATATAAGTGAAATATCTGATAACAGTGAAAATAGCCAGGACGTCTCTTGGTGTTTTTGTTCTATTAATATCTCCTCTACCTTCACAGAGCCTGCCATCTCCACCCCTCACTGCCCCAACCTCTACGGAATTTTCCCTGATCCTGACGATTGCTCCGTCTTCTGGTCCTGCTGGGATGGTGAGGCTTCCAGGTATGCCTGCACCCCTGGCCTCGCTTATGACAGGAAGTCTCGTGTGTGTAACTGGATGGACAACATCCCCGAGTGCAAGGCCCAGAGAGGTGAGCTCCAGTACATTAAAATTAAACTGAAGACGCTAACATACGTTTTATCCTTTATGTGCAAATAATCTCACACAATCAAACGAGCAACAATTTTGCTTGGACTAGGCATCTAGCAAGAATAAAGTTGCCTGCCTTGGCAGCTTTATACTTGTGTTACTAATAAAACAGGACGAGTTACATTTAATTAGACGATTCGTTGAATGTAATATTAAGCTGAACAACGGGAAAAATATTCGGTTAGAATCACACAGACACATTTAACTGCGCCCGCATCATCGTTTTATCTCTCAGCTGCACAATCTACCTGTGACACATCTGAGGTCAAAGTGCTATATAAATCTCATAACTTCCTTTCTACCCGTGACAGACGCTATGCAGCAGGACTTCGCGTGTCCCGCTGCTGGTGAGCTAACAGCCACTGGCTCCTTCTCCCGTCACCCTCACCATGAGGACTGTCGCCAGTACTTCGTTTGCCTTGATGGTGTTGCTCGCGAGTACGGCTGCCCCATTGGTACGGTCTTCAAGATTGGCAACCAGGACGGTTTCGGCCAATGTTCAGACCCTGAGGATGTTCCCGGGTGGTGAGTTAATGATCTGTATGTCCTGCTGTGTGTGTGTGTGTGTGTGTGTGTGTGTGTGTGTGTGTGTGTGTGTGTGTGTGTGTGTGTGTGTGTGTATGTGTGTGTGTGTGTGTGTGTAAAATTTATGTGTTTCACATGGTCTGAGTACAGTATTCTTTATCATATTTGTAATTCTATTATTTAACTATAATTTTTGCTTGCCCTAATATTGTATAAAAATACAGAAGTAATTCATAGTAAAAGTTTAGCGTATTACAGTAACTAGTGTTTCTCTGTGACTGGCTCTCCTCTGTTAATGTTCCTCTTTCTCACTGGCATCCACCAAGTAATTGCATGAGCTGACACAACTGCACCCACACTCCTCGCTACCACTGCATTGTTCCGCACTAGCCAAATTTTACACACACACACACACACACACACACACACACACACACACACACACACACACACACACACACACACACACACACACACACACACATACACACACACACACAAATATACTGTTCTTTCACCTCTGTTAGGTTTCATTCTTGCTATTATTCATTGCATTGTGTTTTTTAATACTCTTACTGCATGTACAATTCAGAATTTTGACGGTGAACATAACTGTAGTCAAGTCTCTAGCACTGAACCATGAGTCATGCAACATTCCATTATTCATCACGAAGCACATAAATCGCTTCCTGCATGGGGTCATTCACTTATAATCTTTGGCCACAAGTCTTCTCTGGTTGACACTGTTGACCTCACGTAGCTCCCTGTTCCCTGGACCACGCTCACTTTCCTTTGTGGGCCTCAATGCTGTTCAACCAAAAACCATTGTGCAATACTCTGTTCCACACCACTGCTCGCGTTGAGAAGCATTTGAGTGTCTGCTGAGGGAGATGAGTGAGGCTTGGTGGATGGGTGTTGCGTAGGTTCACGTGGGCGTGGCCGACGCTCCTGCGGGAGTACGTCCGCTGAGCCTAACCCCAGACTACGACTCCCTTAGCGAGGACTACTACGGCGATCTGGACCTGGACAGCTTCCGACGGAGTCAGCTTCTCTTGGGCAACCTGGGACTACAGGATGGAGGCAGCGCCCCCTCCGCCCATCGTCCCCGCCGCCCTGCTGCTGCCACTGCTGACGCCGCTGCTGATGCTGCGGCAGATACGGCGACTCAGGCCTAAGTGACACCAGGTGCGGCCTACTCCATCAGTTCCCGACGCCACCTTCTGAGAGACTTGACTTATATTTCTGAAAATATTCCCCCGACTGGGACTTCTCTTTTTGGCACCATAACTCTACAGTCTGTTTTTCTGTACGCTTAGCAAGTCATAGATTCCTCAGAGTCCATCTTAAGCTCTCAGCTCCTTTCTTAAATCTTGGTTTCTGATAGTTTTCATATACATATGCAGTACTTTGCATGAACGTAATCTCCATTCTCATAGTTCTTTTTCTAGCATTTCACAAATAATAACAACTAGAACGGTGCAGTTATATATATTATTTTCAGTAATTAAAAGACTGAAATTTATACTGTTTGTTGGTTATTTTTTAAACCAACCCAGACCATTTCATCCTATGTGATTCTAATTTACACATTCTCTGCCTACAGTGAAGACTATTATGGCGACCTAGATGTGAGAACTCTCCGCGGCCTTGGCTTGTAAAACAGATGACTTGATGCATCAGCAGTACAGGACGTGACTGTTCTGAGTGGGAATGTTTCACGCCGCAGACTAGACACTTCTCGTGATATATAAACCGGGTTCAAATTTCTCAAGTCTAACAAGTCCTCATTATCACGGGGAAGCGCTAAATGCGAAGGAGTCATAGAGTGCCAGGGGAATGGGAGGCAATTACGCTTGATCCAAGGAAGGGGAGGGCACGTCCAATTCCTTGGATCAAGAACCCCCCTCACAAACATCAAGACACTTTTCGAGGCTTCGTTTTCTAAGATAAATCACTGTCTAGCTTACCATATTCCAATATTTTCTCTCCCCAAACTTGGTAAAAAAAAATCAGTGTCGTCCATTTTTCAAGACTAAGTTGGTCCACGAGACTAGGCTGGTCCACGAGACTAGGCTGGTCCACGAGACTAGGCTGGTCCACGAGACTAGGCTGGTCCACGAGACTAGGCTGGTCCACGAGACTAGGCTGGTCCACGAGACTAGGCTGGATCACGAGACTAGGCTAGTCCACGAGACTAGGCTGGTCCACGAGACTAGGCTGGTCCACGTCCCTCTCACTCATAACATTACCTTCAGAGATCCCTCCTAGTCAAGCTTGTCTTATGATAAAATTTGTAAACGAGATCATAACAGTGTTTAGAGGTGTAAACTGATCAGTATTATGACCTGACTGGCTTTGACTAATTACAAATTTGTACACAATCAGCATACACAAGATGCCTGTTTGCATTATTGTATTCTGTGTATTCCGTAAGCCGTTTTACGGCATGTCTGTTGTATATTGTTAAGTTGTACAATATTATTAAGCATTTGTATATAAAATACTCCCAGAACATTGTTGAATTCACTCACCTTAGTTCTATGTTGCATCACTCCTCACACAGTGTTGTATCATCCTCACACAGTGTTGTATCACCCTCACACAGTGTTGTATAAACCCTCAAACAGTGTTGTATACCTCACACAGTGCTGTATCACCCTCACACAGTTGTATCACCCTCACACAGTGTTGTATCACCCTCATACAGTGTTGTATCGTCCTCAAACAGTGTTGTATCACCCCACAAAGTGCTATATCACCCTCACACAGTGTTGCATCACCCTCAAACAGTGTTGTATCACCCTCAACAGTGTTGTATCACCCTCACACAGTGTTGTATCATCCTCACACAGTGTTGTATCACCTCACACAGTGTTGTGTTGTATCATACACCCTCACACGTGTTGTGTTGTATCACCCTCACACAGTGTTGTATCATCTTCACACAGTGTTGTATCATCCTCACACAGTGTTGTATCATCCTCACACAGTGTTTGTATCATCCTCACACAGTGTTGTATCATCCTCACACAGTGTTGTATCATCCTCACACAGTGTTGTATCATCCCCCACACAGTGTTGTATCATTTTCCACACAGTGTTGTATATCCTCACACAGTGTTGTATCATCCTCACACAGTGTTGTATCATCCTCACACGTGTTGTATCACCCTCTAAACTGTGTTGTATCATCCTCACACAGTGTTGTATCACCCCCACAGTTTGTATCACCCTCCACAGTGTTGTATTATCCTCACACAGTGTTGTATCATCCCTCACACAGTGTTGTATCATCCACCCTCACACAGTGTTTGTATCATCATCACACAGCGTTATATTATCCTCACACAGTGTTGTATCACACTCACACAGTGTTGTATCATCCTCACCACAGTGTTGTATCACCCTCACACAGTGTTGTATCACCCTCACACAGTGTTGTATCACCCTCACAGTGTTGTATCACCCTCACACAGTGTTGTATCACCCTCACACAGTGTTGTAAACACCCTCACACAGTGTTGTATCACCCTCACGTGTTGTATCACCCTCACACAGTGTTGTATCACCCTCACACAGTGTTGTAAACACCCTCACACAGTGTTGTAATCACCTCACACAGTGTTGTAACACCCTCACACAGTGTTGTATCACCCTCATACAGGTGTTGTAATCACCCCACCCAGTGTTGTATTACTCCCACACAGTGTTGTATCACCCCCACCCAGTGTTGTATCACCCTCACACAGTGTTGTATCACCCCCACCCAGTGTTGTATTACTCCCACACAGTGTTGTATCACCCCCACCCAGTGTTGAATCACCCTCACACAGTGTTGTATCACCCTCACAGTGTTGTATCACCCTCAGACAGTGTTGTATCACCCTCACACAGTGTTGTATCACCCTCACACAGTGTTGTAACACCCTCACACAGTGTTGTATCACCCTCACAGTGTTGTATCACCCTCACACAGTGTTGTATCACCCTCACACAGTGTTGTAACACCCTCACACAGTGTTGTATCACCCTCACACAGTGTTGTAACACCCTCACACAGTGTTGTATCACCCTCACACAGTGTTGTATCACCCCCACCCAGTGTTGTATTACTCCCACACAGTGTTGTATCACCCCCCACCCAGTGTTGTATCACCCTCACACAGTGTTGTATCACCCCCACCCAGTGTTGTATTACTCCCATACAGTGTTGTATCACCCCCACCCAGTGTTGAATCACCCTCACACAGTGTTGTATCACCCTCACAGTGTTGTATCACCCTCAGACAGTGCTGTATCACCCTCACACAGTGTTGTATCACCCTCACACAGTGTTGTATCACCCTCACACAGTGTTGTATCACCCTCACACAGTGTTGTAACACCCTCACACAGTGTTGTATCACCCTCACACAGTGTTTGTAACACCCTCACACAGTGTTGTTCACCCTCACACAGTGTTGTATCACCCCCACCCAGTGTTGTATTACTCCCACACAGTGTTGTATCACCCCCCACCCAGTGTTGTATCACCCTCACACAGTGTTGTATCACCCACCCAGTGTTGTATTACTCCCACACAGTGTTGTATCACCCCCACCCAGTGTTGAATCACCCTCACACAGTGTTGTATCACCCTCACAGTGTTGTATCACCCTCAGACAGTGCTGTATCACCCTCACACAGTGTTGTATCACCCTCACACAGTGTTGTATCACCCTCACACAGTGTTGTATCATCCTCACCAGTGTTGTATCATCCTCACACAGTGGTTGTATCACCCTCACACAGTGTTGTATCACCCTCACACAGTGTTGTATCACCCTCACACAGTGTTGTATCACCCTCAGACAGTGCTGTATCACCCTCACACAGTGTTGTATCACCCTCACACGGGTGTTGTATCACCCTCAGACAGTGCTGTATCACCCTCACAACAGTGTTGTATCACCCTCAGACAGTGCTGTATCACCCTCACACAGTGTTGTATCACCCTCACACAGTGTTGTATCACCCTCACACAGTGCTGTATCACCCTCACACAGTGTTGTATCACCCTCACACAGTGTTGTATCACCCTCAGACAGTGTTGTATCACCCTCACACAGTGTTGTATCACCCTCAGACAGTGCTGTATCACCCTCACACAGTGTTGTATCACCCTCACACACTGTTGTATCACCCTCACACAGTGTTGTATCACCCTCACACAGTGTTGTATCACCCTCAGACAGTGCTGTATCACCCTCACACTGTTGTATCACCCTCACACAGTGTTGTATCACCCTCACACAGTGTTGTATTATCATGTGGGAGTTCGATACGTGGATTAGGGTAGAAATACTCACGTAGGCTGTTATAACGTATAATCGTAGATATGTGGAGAGAACCCGCAGCCGTTACCTGTCTCCTTGGTTACACTCGTAAAACTGACTAGCCGGCTGGCCAGTACCCCGTAGTGGCAGGTAACGGCTTGGGATATTCTATACAATGTCAAAGTACCCAAACATTAAACATTATAGATCATAAGTAGAACATTAGAATGAAAGCGTACGTAACTGAAACTGTAATGCCATACAAGGTATACTATAGTACAACTTAAAACTCAACAAATGGGTATACTAGACGGCAACTCAACATTGAGATTACACGTGATAAAAAACAAACATTTTGATCGATCGATCTGTATTCATGTATCTACGGATGCTGAAGGAAGGAATATATACAAAAAAGAGTGTTTAACAAGAAAGGCAGATTCGGTGCACGCAAATTAACTGTTAACTCTCAGAATGCGGAAAACAGAACACAAAAAAAAAATTCTTGAATTACTGATAAGTTGAATACTGTAATAATCATCTATACAGGTTATGTTTCATTTAACCCCAACTCTGCTAGGGTAAGATTGGCATATGCAGAATGGGTGTCATCTCTGGGGGGATCAAACTCTGTAGCATTGGCTAACTCATGCTGTATTTGAGGCAATTCGGAATTGGAATTTACAAATGTACTTGAGGATTCTAAATACCTGTCGTGTACGTGAGGGAATAACTGAGCATAAGTTTGGATGATTCTGACTGAGTATCAGAGGTAAGAGAAGTAACAGGATCAGGTGGTTTTCATGTTGTCACATTAGTCTGGTTGCGAACTTCATATCATAACATTACTAACTTCATATGATCCAAATGCGAGTCCTTTATGCTGACCAGTACATCTCCTCTAATCCTATAATACTTATTGACAGTGAGATGTTAACTACGCGGTTTGATCATACATACATTTTGATCTAGCTTTGGCATTGCAGCTCGTTTTGTTAAAATTAGTATGAATATACTCTCGAACATCGTCACACCACTCTTCGCTACTTGATTTTGGCTGGCTTTTACTCGAGTCTATTTGCGTAACTCTTGTAACTCTAGCGAGTGATTTATGAAGTGTTTTTCACGAGATCTTCTAAAATCACTTTGTGAGCTACGATGGTACGTTGTTGCTCACGAAATCATAGGTTTGTAATTTTTGGTTTTCCGGATTTTGAACTATTTCTAATCATTAAGGCAAACGTTTACTCTACACCATAACAATGCATAATGTGGAGTGTCACCTATAGATACATTTGTAACGCAGATTTATAGCACACTGCAGCATAGTATATACTTCATCCCAAGTTTCTCTATGGGAGATTGATACGTGGCTGTCAATACATCAAGTACTTTTTATTGGTTCGTTCCGCTAACCCATTGCTGGCAGCGATGACATGAGGGGAAACTATGGTGGATTTAGTAGATCTTGTTACATCGTTACACAAAATTACAAGAATTTACAATTTACAGTGATTAAACTCATTATCTGTTACTAGGGATTAGGGGTGGTATGCCTGGAATGATACATGCGTTCTTTTAACGATTTAGCTAATGTCTCGGCAGTCTTATCTGCATAGGCTTTCTAACTGCATGAATCTGGTGGGAAATGGTCTGGCACATAACACACAGATGTTTTGTTGCTTGGGAGGTTGAACATCAGGAAATTAGTTAACAAATCTTGCGCAAACCTCTTTCCCAAGGTCGTAGTTGTTGGATACACTTGGATTGGATTTAGGAACCATTAGCATTGCCTTTATGTGCATGAGGGACATACATTTCCTAACACTAATCAGAAATATCAGGTT